ATTAGTAAGGGACTGTTAAACCTGGTGATATTTGTAAAACAATAATTATTTCACTAAGTACTTTGTATTGTGTGTACAAAATATTAAAAAAAAGGAGAAATTCACTTAAGGAAAAGAGATGATACGCCAAGTAAACTAATATTTACATATCAAAGAAGGCATGCATATGTGATCAGTAAAGAACAGCACTATGTGTAGAAAAATAGGGTTACATTCCTAACCCTACCAGCTATTTTCCTCTGTTGAATTCCTTTCCATTTTTCAATATTTTGTCACACGTAAAACAAGAGTAAACAGTGAAATAATCAGTGTTTCAGAAGAGTCAGCACTTTGAAAATTCATCTACAATAGGCTTTCTGTTTTCAAAAGCACTCAGTTTGAACACTAGCAATGGATAGGAAGTATACAAAGTAAATGGGATGTTTCCATGAAAATGGCACATAAGAAATTAACAAGCATTGTCCTTCGATAAAAAATTGATTTACAACTACAAATACTTTATTTAAAAAAATTTTTTTTAACTGTATTACTGAAAGAAAAAAAAAACGATTTTTTTAGTGGGAACACTATATGTAGCTGTACACTGTTTCTTGAAAGAAAAATATTCTGGGAATAAGGGGCATTTTACAAGTTAAGAAATTCTTAGGAATGCAAGTGCTTTCACAGAAAGAAACACAAACTGAAAAAAAATCTGTTCGCATTCCACGAGAAAATCAATGCTAACATAATAGAAAAAAATGAAATGAAGAAACCCTTAATGTTAAAACAAAACCTTAATGTAAAAGTTTAATGTTGGTTTCATTGCAACTCTCAAGGTTTAAAAAATATCACCCTTATTGAAAACATTTTTTTTTTGTACATTAGGGGTCGTCATGGGGTTAACGTAGGCTCGTACGATAAAGTTAAAAAAATATTAAAAACAGTTGTCTTTTTTTTTAAAATTCAAATTCAGTAAAACTTTTAGCTAAATTAAATATTAGATGTTATCTAAACAAAGAAAGTAAGATCAATTCATAACTACCCTTTTCTACTAGATAACGTGTGTGAAACAACAGCAGTACAAAATCCGTTGAACAACAATTTCAAATGTTTCTTACTGAATATATATTGGACTAAAAGATATGTGGTTATACCGGTATATACTAGTATATCTACTATATATATTTTTCTTTTTAATACCCAGAGAATATCCAGGAGTCAGTAAATACTATATAAATTCATATATCGTTAGATTCAAAATATTCTCCAGCTACTGCGATATTAAGCAAAGGGAAGTTTGATTTCTATGAAAACCATTTATAAATGAGTTAAGTATAACAGAAATAGAACTGAGTTATGCTATACAAATACATTTGATGTTCTTTAAAACTATGCATATTTTCTTTATTATATCTTTGTATACCCAATTTCACATCTTTGTCGTATAATTTGACTTTTATGTGCCAAACCTAACAATATTTAGCTTTCATAATTTTGCTAGAAAAGAATTTACTTGTCAATAAAGTTCGTGGTCTCCGGTGATAAACAACGTCATTTTCTACTCAGTTCATTTAGCTCTTTCTGCCATTGAAATGTTTTGGATGTCAATGTTTCTATCTTTATACATTCTTTAAATATGTATAATTCATCTGATTATAGCAAATCTGTTCAGTATACAGAGTATCATATGGAGATAACGAACAGCAATCAGGCTCACAATTCCATAATCTGATACAATACAAATTGGGAGCAGAGCAAACAAAGACCTCTAAAACTTCAGAGGTGGGATCAGGTGCAACACCGTGTGCCCCTTGTCATGATAGGACAAACGGGAAAATCCGTAGACAATTCAGTATGTAAATAATGGTCTAACAATAAGTTTGAAAACGTCTGTCAGCATATGACTTAATGATAGATTGTAATTACTGACAAGGTCATTGTATCGATCATAGAACTTGCGAAATGCCGACTTAAAAGGAAGGTTGTTGATATTCTTGTTTCATCAACTCATTTGTTAATAGCTTGCCTCGTTTTAGCAATTGTTCGTACGTAAAGCTTCCATCTTGATCAGCATTTTAACCCCCATCCCCCACCCTAAGAAATTCAACTTCTGAGCATATTGTCTGCAAGATTTGAACCAACAAATGCATATGGTGTTTATATCTCTCATCTTATTCGATACTCAAAAGTATGCTCCGAGGACGATCAATTTTTAAACCGAGGTAGGCTTCGGACAGATAAATTGATGTTACAGGGATTTTAACAACGTCGTTTAAAGTTAGCATTTCGTAAATTATATGATCGTTATAATGACCTCGTTAGTAAATGTAGCCTATCATTGGGTCGAATTTTGTTGATGTATTTCATACCAATTGTTGGGCCTTTGTTTTTAAAATGAATTTGACTATGAATGTTCCTTCTACCTGATCAGTACATAGGGCTCACAACGGGTGTGACTGGTCATTAAGGGATGCTTAATCCTCCTAGGCACCTGATCCCACATCAGGATTTCCAGAGTGTTTTGTGCCCTATTCAGATTTGTATTGTTCATGGATTTTTTTGAGATTAATCACTGTTCGTTATCTTCACCTCTTTCATTTGGCATACTTAAAAGAGGGTGTTGCAGAAACTCGTGATTATTCCCTAAATCGAGAAGGTCATTTAAATACCCACGACGCATGAAGAGTTATCTCTAAATATAGATAATGCTACGTAGATGACTTTATTTATACGACGGGTATGTCCAGCTTGTTATAACGAAACATTTCACATTTTATGTTAATATCATGCATAGTTTTTCCTAAATAGACTCGCACATCATTTTGAAAGATGTACTGTAAAAAGCGTGCGTTAATATTTTTCTATATATACAAATGTGTCCAATAATTACGCTATTGATGCAATATCCAAGAAATTCCATTGAGTCATTTCAATTTATTGTTTCAATTCAAATCTGAGCCACTAATTAACAGAACAATAATGAAACGAAATGAATATGAATAAATTAAATTATTTTAAATGATAGTACTTTATTTTTTAAGATATTGCACTAAATAATAACATTAAATGTATGTCTTATTAGTTTTAGACACAATATCAAAGAAAACAATTTAATTCTGCATGCATTTAAAATATTACCCATTAACTTTCTGACATTCTCTCCCTCTCTCTTTCTCTCTCAAGAGAGTTGTTACATTGTACTTCCATTATATAAGAAAAAAAATGTATATACCAGCCATTCCAGAATTCGAACCCATTCTCAGGTAAAAAGAATCTTCGCATAGAGTCCACACGCTTTACCACTAGACCAGCTCTGACACAGAAGTATAGTGTGCTATTTTATGTACACACTTTTCATTTCGGGTGGATAATAATTTTTCTTCGATTTTTGTGATTTTCAAAAATATGCCTCTTTGAAACAAAAATCGGAAATGGCAGTTTTGAAGAAAAGTCCTGTCTCTTTATGCGTATATCAAATTCATTCTGTTTCAAGGAGGCAGTTTTTTCAGAACAATGGGGATTCCCTATTTGAAAAACAGAAAACTTGACTTATTTTGCTATGTGACTAATTTACACTTCTTTTAATGGCAAATTGGTAGTCGATATGCATTTTGCAAATATTGTTCTACATTGTGCTGTATAAACTGTTGTATCTGAAAAAAATTAAGACCGTTTTCTGTAACTTAAAATTTTTCTTTTAAACTGCTACAGCTTTAGGGAAAATAACAAAAGAACTGCAACATCCTCTTTATTCTTTGCGTGCAATTAGAGACTTGGTAGAATTTGTGGCCATTATTTCGCACTGTAAAAAAAATCGCACAAAGGTTCTTCAATCATTGAGACACGGATTAAAAAAGTAGAATACAGTAGATGGGCGAACAAGGCCTGCAAAATGCCTTTGGTGCGACAAATAAGAAAGTAAAAAATCAAATGTCAATTATAGCACAATTTTCTTTGATATTTCATTTAACATTGACGTGTACTTTATGTTTAATCTACACAATTTGCAACAATCTTTACAATTTTAATTATTCGTATATGAAAAAGCATACACACACTTAGACCATTTCATCATGCATACGCGGTTTATATCTCTCAGTTGATTCGAAACACCAGAGTATGCTCTACGTATGAACAATTTCTAAAACGAGGTAAGTTATTGACAAACAAGTTGATGAAACAAGAATATCAGCAGTCTCGTTTAAAGTTGTCATTTCGTAAGTTCTATGGTCGATACAATGACCTTGTCAGCAAATACAATCTTTCACGAAGTCAAATGCTGACTAATTGTTAGGCCATTAATTACATACTGAATTGTCGACGGATTTTTCCGTTATTTCCTGATCATGACAAGGAACAGACGGCGGATGCTCACTCCTCCATGGCACCTGATCCCACCTCTGATGTCTTAGAGGTCCGTGTTTGCTCTGCTCCTATTTTGTATTGTTTAATGGACATTTGAGCTCGAATACTGTTCGCTATCTCCACATATTTCACTAGAACATGGTTTTCTTACGAGTGAATCTTTTTTGAAAGTTTATCCTCAAAGTATACGTAAAAATATTTTTTTTCGGCTAACAAAAATATGGAGCAAAGACCCACTATATCTTATAAATACACTTCAGAGATATTTGAAGTTCATTTGTCAATGGTCATAGCACAAACATGATTTAAATGCTAATTGTCATGAATTGTGAAGACTAGCGTGTTAGTCTCAAAGAAAAAAAAATGATACTCCAAAAATACCGCAATTTTAAAAAAAAAAGAAAAGAAAATGTTTTGTCGAATTTTCCGTAGACAATTTTTGGTTTTCAGAATTTTATGAATTTCAACAATAAGAAATTTACTCTAAATACAAAATTCACACACTGAATATGATATTTATACTTTTGAAGCTATAGGCAATTTGCACACCTTGTTGGTCCATCTCCAGATTGGAAGTATTTACTATAAGAATAACACTCACTCACCTTTTCAATAAGAGGTAAATACTTAAAGAACACTATAAGAATAACTCTCACCTTATCATCAGCGGTAACGATCCGGCAGGTGGTTTGTAGAATACCAAGGACTAACAGCCTTCTCAGTATAGATGCTTTCGATAGAGACATGTCGTCTATTACTGGCACTCATGAAGAAATAAGCTAATTTTAAATATCGTCCTCTGTAGGCGGTATTTTGCTAATGTTTAATTGGATATCGCTTAACATCCGGGCATTAGAGCTAGTATCGTCACCCGTGTTAAGCCTGTTAAGGAGTTTGTTGCAATCGATACGAGGGACAATTTCTATTATCTTCAGATTAACTGTTCCTTTGGCTGATCATAAAGACGCAATAATAGCAATTCTTGGACGGAATCTTCCTGGGAACAGTTTGTTCTCTCTGTCATAAATGTTTGGAATACCGACGGGATATTAGACTTGTATTCTAATCTTTTAAGTAAACCACTGTAAGACAATTCTTATATAAACCACTAAGATTTTTCTCATTATCACTGTACAAATTACGAGGACTTTTTATAGTGTCATGTTGAAGAGCTAGAAAAAAGTTTGAGACTACTATAATCAGATTACTAAACTGATCAGTAAACCAATTGAAAAGTATATACATTGTATTTTACAGGATATCTGAATGTATCCAGTAATACACAAGGGCGCCGCAAAGCGGAGCATCCCCTCGCAAAAGAGCCTATCAATCCTGATATGATTTATTACTTGCTTAACTTTTGTTAACACCCCCCCCCCCTTACACACATACACGAGCTTTACTATATCCTCTCCAAGATTTTTTTTTTTTTTTGCAAGGGAAACACAATTTAACTTTTTATATTTTCCTTGGAGAATACTTTTTATAATTCTAAGTAAACAAAAAGTTGACACTAGATTTTGAATATTGAGCATGTTGAGTTTTGATATGGTCCATGTCATGAGGTATGTGGACGGCTGCTACAGTTTGATTTATTATTAATCAGTGTAAATTTAACTATTTAAGCAGTGATCATTATTCATGAATGATTTCTGAATTATAACTGAATGCAAGTACCATGCTTTGCAGCTATTATTGTTTAACTACATCTTCTGCCTTGGTGCAGTGAACAAAAACGTTAATGTTGATTTTCGAAATCCGTAATTGGCGACTTCACAAGCTACATGTATGTTGCTAAATATATAGTGATTGGATAAGAGCTGTTAGGAAGTAAATGTTTACATGCTTAAAAACTACCGACAATATTCGTGGATACGTAAACCTGAAATGGACGACTTCACTGTACGTAGGTCATCGTAATTCAAGCTAGATAGCTAAATATGCAATCGGATCACCTCGCCCTTTTCCGTCGCACGCTTTTTTCTAGCGTGCGACGGAAAAGGGCGAGGTGATCCGATTGCTGAATATGATGTTAACAAAAATTTCGAACCCGATTGCACACAACTCAATTATAATTTACACTTGGAAAAGCAAAATACTGTATATACTGTAATATTTTATTATCCCCTTGTTCAGTTTTATTTATGTGATTGGAATATGAGAAGATCAGACAATAGATGAATAAATTAAAAATATACATATTTCAAGGCAGAATTCGATCCCGATGCAAATTACGTCACTTCCGTTCGCACATGACTAACTAACACACACACACAATTGCGTTACTATCCCCTCCAACTCCGTTGCGAGGGGATAATAATTTCTTTTGATTAGTAAAATGCAAGGAAAACAACAAGCTTTTTTTTTTTTTTTTTTTTTTTTTTTTTTTTTTTTTTTTTTTTTTTAAATTAAGATTGCACTTATATGAAACTCGTCTCTTTATATAAAGTAATTGAATAGAAGCGTCAAATCAGATATCACAGGATTTTTATTCCGCCAAATTAAAAAAAAAATAAAATTCAATTGCGATGTGAAAGGAATACCGGTGTACATCTGAAGAAATAGCAATTTTGAAATTTAACGTGTTTTCAATAGAAAACTTGCTTCTATGAAAAGAATTAAAAATTTATTCAAACAGTTTATTAATGTCTACAATACAAGAACAATAACCAACAATATTTCTAACAATGTCAACATTTACTTTTCAAATTAACTATTTATTCAAAAAAGAAGAAATTACCCATATAGCACTAGAACACATAATGTTTCAATTCATTCTATTGATATTGCTCATTTAAGAAAATTTTGCCACCTTTGTGTTGCTAGTAACTTTGAAAATGATACAGTTAAACCTCTGCCATTGAAAACATCATAAACATAATCAGTTACTCGGATCAAAATAAAGAAGATACCACATAAACAATTTAAGGTCAAATGAAAATGTATTTTTAAGCGCAAGTTTAATTAAGAACATGAAATCAGTTATATGTTGACTAAACAATTTTACATTTTCAAAGCTATCCATCGACATTGTTTAACTCACCAAGGTAAAGCATGCAGCACCAAATGGAAAATTAAACGTTATGGGATCTCTAGAGAGATGAAAGAATGTCATTCAATAGTACCCATTTTTTATGATTTGTTTAGGAAAAGGTGCTTTTATGGAGCAGAATTTATTAAGAACTACAAAAAAGAAGGTTGTGGCTTTCAATTCGAGGTTTGGATATATCGTCAACGTTTTATCAATTAACAATCTCATTTAAATTCCTATGTTGATTCGATACATCCTATTGAACTCGAAATAAAAGACACCATAAAGTCATACATCTGTTTATTTACTAGAGAAGGACATTCATGACAAACTATCATCTTAACTTTATGATAAATGTGATAACTTCAATTTTCTATCGCCTCTTTTCTTATTTATGTAGAAATATATCATTATCACCCGCATATGGGGTTTATATCTCCCAGTTTATTTGATATGCAAGATCATGTTATGCGTCCAAAAAATTTCAAAACGAGACAGAAAAGTGGCAAATAATTTGATGATAAGAGGATATCAATAGTAAAAAGTCAACATTTCACAAATTCTATGGTCGATACTATGACCTTGTTTGCAGATACAAACTATCATTAGCTAGGTCGAATGATAACCGACGTCTTTCATATAAATCGTTAGGCCATATATCTCACACAAGTTGTGTACAGTGTTCTTCTGTTTTCCGACCATGAGAAGGGGCATACGGCAGGTGTGTCTGGTCGACAGGGGATGTTCGCTCCTCCACGGCACCTGATCCCGCCTCTGTTTTCAGAGGTCCGTGTTTGCTGTACTCACAACTTGGACTTTTGAACACGATTAATGTTCGTTATCTTCACATTTCGTGTAAAACATACCGACGCGTCAATATTTTTGTCTCATGTGTAATGAATCAAATGTCTATCTTAGTATGTTTCCCCACGGGAAGAGACGTATTGCTTTCTGTACAGTGTAGGAGTGATTTGAGGCAAATAAAAGACTGTCTGTATATGATGAATTATTGCCCAAAATATGATAAAAGATAGAAATAGCAATATCGATGTATGAATAAAAATTTGTGAATTTATAATGGAAAAGTCAAATATAAAATTTATTGACAACCCTGGAATCATGTCACCAATTTAAAAATGCTGCTGAAAATCACAGCTCTTCCTTCACCGAATTTGAATTCAATGATGTTAGGGGAATGCATTTAAAGTATTTGTAATTTTAGTAAAATTAACTGTAGTCTATAATTTAATAAATAAATAATCAACTTTTATTTTAAACACATCTGATTTTAACTTCACTCCTCAAACATAGCCTTTTATTGTTAAAAGTGTTGGTTGTCCATCTCCATTTTTTTGTTGTGATATAGTTTAATCATTGTAATCTGATAATGCATTAACAAATAAAATTGATGCAAAGCATCGAATCGGTCGCAAACATGTTTAGCATTTTAAAAGTATTTCCATATGAAAGAGTCCTAAAAAAATAATTTTAAAGTACAGAAAGTATACGTTACATTTTTCTTGCAGAACTAACCTTACTTTTTTGTGCATTTTTTAAAAATACTTTTATTAATGTTCGATGACTTGTTTACTATTAATCAAAAATAGACTAATTCATGAATATTGAAATGGGCGATAAAGGACAGGATTATATCATCATCAAATTTATTTATTACAAGATGAATGGCTCACGTACGTACAAACGTCAGGTGCTGACTCCTGGATCTTTGTCACGTGATAATACCGATGTTTCCGTATTATTATGTCATTTACAGGTGTTGCATATTTGCTTATAATTTAAATAAAAATATTTATTTATTATTTTGTCACTGTAATTGATACTCGGAAACATTATGTTCTGTGTTTGTATCCAACACACTCCCATGTTGGGGAGCAGTTCATGTAACAACTTTTCAGGAAAATCATAAATTAATGCATATCTGATGAAAAATGAAAACTATAATTGAAACTAACTACAACCATTTAGAATTATTATTAAGCAAATTTTAAAAACTTTTATTCATAATTTTTATAAAAGATATTAATAAGAAATTATTCCATGGAACAATGAAAAAATAACGACTCATTTCCCATGTGCACATTCTAACACAACCACAAATAGATCGGCAGCTTCTGCGGCTGATAATAAAATTTGGTAGGGAAAAAAGTTGAATCTAACCCCTCCCCCTCCCCAAATATGTATTTTTAGCTGGCCCCACATTTTCAAAAACGATACTTTGTGCCTGTCATGTCATAAATTTAAAAGTTTTGCGAAATTTGATAGGGAAAAAAGTTGAACCTAAACTCACCCACTCCCGTCTCCCAAATATGTATTTTTAGCTGGCCTCCAACTTTCAAAAACGATGCTACGAGCCTGTCATGTCATAAATTTAAAAGTCTTTGTATTTAAAAATTTCCATTTCTCCATCCAATTACATACATTGGCAATATTGTAATAAGTGTTACTGGACAGTTCATTATCCCATGACTATAACAAGATTTGTTAAACACAGACTTTTAAGTACTTGCTTTAAGAGGCGCTCCTTCTGAACTTGTTTATTTTAATTCAACCCACGACAGCAATGAAAGAGCATTAAATAATTGAGATTGTCCCCATGGGGTCGGGCAATATATTTCTACCTATTAAACGAGAAATTCTAAGCTTATTTGAGTAATGCAATAAGACATTTTACAAAGTGGTCATGTACGAGTATATGTCAAAGTAAATGTATCATAATCAGCAAGTTCAAG